ACGTAATATGTATATGCAACTGTGATTTTAAACAAACAGTTAATATTGAAAGGTTTTGTAAATCAATTTAGGAATAATTACATAATTTTCCCTTTATCTCGTCAAGGTACGTAAATTGTTAGTTGCTCAATGTTTCAACCTAAATAAACGAGTATCACATGTTGATGTTCAGTTTGTAATTATGCAATAACTTTCCAAATAGAATTGTCCTGTCTGACAAATTTTATTTCACCTAATGGCATGGCTCATTAGATAAAAAGGTTCCGTAAGAAGAGAGAAAATTACCAGAGGCACGGCATAATGGCGCTATTATTTACTATGACCGATCATCTGTTTCAAAACTTTGAGATAAAAGAAACTGGAGCATTTAACAATTGTTAATAACACAATTGTTAGAAAGAGCATGGTGCACACATATAAGAAGTAAAGGGGTTGCTTAAAAGATTTTGGAAGAATTGATGAATTGACTGTAAATATTTCGTAAATAATAAAGTTAGAAATAGTACTCGATCTTTCGTTACATTACAAAAAATGTAATGATCTTTGGCTAAGAAGTTAACATATCCTTGTTGAAAGATATTAGTCATAAGCATCCAACAGCGTAAAAGCAAAGTAAACATAACTTTAAATTTTGTCTGACAGTTTAATCCATCTTCCTTCCTTTAATTTCACTTATGGGTATTTTCATTTGTATTTTAAATGGATATATTCTATTTTCATTTTTTTAAAACCTGTTTTCATACTATTTTTTGGTATAATTATTGTTAGTTTGTTACACGTATGTTTTTTTTTATTATAATTAAATGTTAACTAAAGGTAAAATTTCAAGCGTCAATTTTACAAAAAGAATGTACTAGTATTATACGGGCAAAGGTAGCCTTGTAAATCAAATAACAATAATTATTTTCAATGCTTCTGAAATAAGATAAGAATACTTTAAGCATTATACAATGTACCTATTGACTGTGTCCTCGGTAGAAAAATGACGTTTATTTCCGGCTTTTCCGCACGCATGAACTCTCTACAAAGTGTTTTAGTTGAAAGGAACATTTCTTATTGAGAATTCATTATCCCTTTTATTGTCCCTTTAAATACCTCTACCTACAACTTTATTCATCGAAATGCGATAAATCAAAATTGTTTAAATAGCTATAGGTTAGTCACTCAATGAGTTTCGATTTTTTTCTCGAAGCCCCTTTGTCGCACTGAATATCAAATTTAGCTGTTTTCAATACAATTTGTTTTTTTGTTGGGGTATCAAACATGCTGCACTTTTTATGTGGTTTTGAAATAAAATGAGACTTGGGGGAAACGAATAAGAAGAAAATACCTACTTTTGGTATGTAGAGTTATTTATGGATTTTTTTAAAACCCAAACTAACATTCATTCCGAAAGTTTCTATTGTACGTCAAGTAGCAGGTTTTCGATTTTACTTCAGGGTCTTATTATGGATATATACTGGGACAAGAATGTGGCCATATGATTCATCAAGTTAATATAATAACGTGTCGATGCGTTATGCATGTAAACGCAACTGGGTGTGCACAAACAATATAAAAAGTTTTTGTGAATCAGTGAAGGAAGGAATAAAAAAAAATAGAAGGGATAAATATGTAATAATTAATTCCTCCTCTCGTCAAGGTAGGTAAAAATTAAAATTCATTTAAGGTTTCAACTTATGGATTGACACATGTAAATCTTTAGTTTGAAATTATGTTATGACTTAATGAATAGAATTGTCCTTTCTGATCGACAGATTTTACATTATCAAACTGCAAATTTCATTAGATAAAAATTAATCTGTTAGAACATGTAGAAAGTACAAATCAACAGCAAAACAGCATGTCGACGCGATTATTTAATAAGGCCAGAGACATAATGATATAATATAACTGAGTATACGTCTTTGATAAGAACAGGCACTGGTGTTTTAAAATTGCATGCACATATGAAAATAAGAAAATGGCCTACATGCCTATATCAAAAGTGAGTGGGTCGATTTATAGATTTTAAAAGATTCGATGATTGACTCCTAGGCTTTACTTCAAATAGTGCTCGCTCTTTTTTTTTGTCCTTTCGACATTAAGTCTGAAGTGAATATAAAATTTTAAATACTTTATGATCTATTTTCCTTTAATGTTCAGACATCGCATTATGTTTCAATTTTGATTTCTGATTTCTAATAAAACAATTTTATGTTCTAAAAAAATCAACTAAACGTTTTGAGAATAAACCTAAGATAAGAAAGTATTCATATACAGTAACTAGTAATCAACATCTGGAAAATGGAATTTTTTCACGCAGAAATTGCAGGAGTATTATCTCAAAATGTCAAAACCTGTATACAAACAAAATGGTCTGAACTGTGAAACTCAAGGCACACCAATTCCAGCAGGAATGACACTATCGAGAACCGTTACGTATACGTTTGTTTATACTTCTGAGATATTGCATATTTTTTGGAATTTCTTTGTAGCGTGTTCAAGGAATGTAATGAGCGGAAGACACCGAGTGTTTCCATCATTGCTGACTTAATGAAAAGTGTTTTGTTTAATTTATCACAAACGTTCTCAAATGATGGTTTAATGTATCTGTATTATATTCTAAATTGTAAATTTACTTGCTTGGGGTAAAAAAAAACAAGTTAAGGATCACCAAAGGCATAAGAGTATATTCTTTAACTGTATATGTATCAATTTTGGGGTGTTTTGCTATTGTATAATCATGAATATAAAATTCAGTTGTTTTCAAGACAATTTGTTTTTATTTGGTATCAAACATGCTGCATTTAAATTATGTGTTTTTTTAAATAATATGAGACTTGAGAACACTAATAAATAGCAAATACCTACATTTGGTTGAGCTGTTTATGGATTTTTTTTTCTACCCAGCCTAACATTCATTCCGAAAGTTTCAATTGCACGTCAAGATCTCTCTATCATACTTCAGGGTCTTATTCTGGATATACTAGTACTGGGACAAGAATGTGATCATGATTCATCACGCTCATATGATAACGTGCCGATGATAAACTCTCACGCATGTAAATGCAACTGAGTGTACACAAACAATATAAAAAAGTTTTTGTATATCAGTGAAGGAATAAAAATATAGAAGGGGTAAATATGCAATAATTTTCCATCCTCTCGCCAAGGTAGGTAAAAAAATTCAAATTCGTTTTAGGTTTCAAAGTATATATAAAGGACTGACACATGTAAATGTTCAGTTTGAAATTATGTAATGACTTCCTAAATGGCATTTTCCTTTCTGGTCGACAGATTTAACTTTATCGAACTGCAGAGTTCATGAGATATTCATTAGATAAAATTTAATCTGTTAAAACATGTAGAAAGGACAAAGTTACCACAGGAACAGCATGTCGACGCGATTATTTAATAAGACCAGAGACATAATGATATAATATAACTGAGTATATGTCTTGGATATGTTTTAAAATTACATGCACATATTAAGGTCAAGATCTAGTAAATGAAGGGTGCCTACAGATTTATCAAATTCAAGAAATGAATTCCTTTAATGATGCCTTATAACTTTAGCTTGGTCAAAAAAGGTGTTTCCTGGCATAATTTGTAGGAAAATAAGATGAAAAACCATATTTTAAACTGTCATTTTCAATGAAAAATTAAGAAAATTAGACATGAATATGAGAGTTTTTTTGCATAGCACACAACAAAATGTATCCAGATTGCCTACAGTCTTTCAGAAAACGGTAATTTGTATGGTCTTGGTCTCTTCTTTTAAATAATGTTAAATTTAATATAGGTATCCGGACTACTTTTCATGTGATTTCAAATTGAATTCCATGAAAATACTTTATTTTCTACATAATTCTATTAGAGCCGTAAAATACGGGAAAACGAAAATTGAAAGTGATTATGACGTCATAATGGATCTAGCACCAAAAAGTCAGTCTAAGAGCATTTACTAGATCTTGACCTTAAAGTAAGAAATTGGCGCACATGCACATATCAAAGATGAGTGGGATGATTTATAAATTTTGAAAGAATCGATGATTGACTCCTATATATATATATATATATATATATATATATATATATATATATATATATATATATATATATATATATATATATATATATATATATATATATATATATATATATATATATATAGGCTTTAGTGAATAATACAGCTACAAATAGTGCACGCTCGTTACAATTACATTTTTTGTCCCTACGACATTTAGTCTGTAGTGAATATAAAATACTTTATGATCAATTTCCCTTTAATGTTCAGACAACGCATTATGTTTTAACTTCCTCGGAAGAAATTTCTAATAAAACAATTTAATGTTATTTAAAAAATCAACAAAACAGTTAGAGAATAAAGATAATACAGTATTCATATACAGTAACTAGAAATAAACATATGGAAAAAGGAATTTATTCACACAGAAATTGCAGGAGTAATCAAAATGTTACTATACTTGTTGTAATTATATACAAAATGTTCTGAACTGTGTAACTCAGGGCACACCAATTCCAGCAGGAATATGAGAATATCAAGTATCATTACCCAAAAAAATCCCTTTTCGTTACTTACGGATATAAATGAAACTACTACTGGTCAATACCATATGCATTATTTTTTGAATTTCAGGAACCAGTACGGCTTCCCTGTCTGAGAGAGAAAGTAGACCAATGGAACGTACTTTTGTGACTATAGCATGTATCCCATGCCAATATTGTACTAAACTTGTCGTCTGTTGAAACGTCAGGACTCATTAGCATTCCACAACCAGATGACAAACAGCTACTGTGTAGGTTCAATTGAATATTGGATAACAAGGGGTTGGAATGATGAACATAAAATATAATGTAACACATATTTCACAATCATCAACCACAGCGCCATTTCTAAGTCGATGCTTGCTATCATATCATGGATAAATGCCTTTTGATCGGTGAATTATTCGAGAAAAGGACCGCAATTTTATGCTTTAAAAATGGCTAAAAATAGACACATCTTGTTTATGAGGTTATTCCTGACTAAAATTCTCTCACTGCTCTCCAGAAAAAGGAATGTGTTACTTTGGATAAACACAAACTGCCGAAAAAAAGACGTACGTCATTTCTGAGATCAATGCGCATGTCATATGGCGAGTGACATTGAAACACAAGTTGTGTAAAGTTGTTCAAACATGTGTAAAGGAACTGAAAAAGATACATGAAAGAGATGCATGGAAATGTGCCAAATTCTTCTGAAAATACAAAATATTAATCGATTCCAGCATTGGGATTGTGACATAATGTGGAATATAGATGTACGTGAGTCTTTGTGAGATCACGTGGTTCTACATGCTTCGTGGGATAAAGATCTTCTAGATTATGTAGATGGCATTTTGATGAGGAAGGGCAAAAGAAGGTAAATTTTACATTAAATAACAAACGAATTCAAGAAATCTATATTTAATTACTAGTTTCAAACAATATGGCAAAGGTATTTAAATACAAATGGATGTAGCTAAATTCCCTGCTATTTTGCTTTTATTGACTAACACTGACTAAGGTCTTAATTAATATGTATATGAATGGTTGCGTACGCGTGTTTTCTGAAACACCCTGTATGTGTAGTCTGATTAATTTTTATACCATATAAACAACTGCTAAATGAAGCCTAGCTGCAGGGCGTTTGATTCTATTTGGTTGAACAGCTGTTTCTTCAGCAAGCTCCCAGCACTAAAACTGAAAGTCACGGGTTTTTTTTTTTTGGATAAAAACCTATAAACTCACATTCCGAGTAACAGTGGCGATAAACATGATAAACATGCATATGATAAACAGAATGAGATAAAGGACTCTTACTGTGAATGTTGACTATGCATGTATACGTCTAAATATGATATAGGATGAAGTCCCTGGATGAATAGAACTTTTCGAAAGGAGACGTAAAGAACAAAGTCACTCATTCAATTAATATGTTTTATTTTTTTTTTTTATTTATTCAATTTGACAAAAACCACATGTGGCGCAAGTCATACATACAGTAAACAAATATAAAATATATAGTCACATACATTTTCTTATATTACATGCATCACGTATGAAGTTACAAATATTCCTTGTAGAATTAACATCTGCTGGATTAAGAATTTCATAAGATATACAGGTTTTATTAAAAAGTGTACAAAATTCACTTCTTAGTTGTTTATATAGAGGACATACAAATAAAAAATGATGTTCATCTTCAACGACATTTTTACAATTAATACAAAATCTTTCATCTCTTGGTATAATTGGGTTACAATATCTGCCAACCTCTATCTGTAATTTGTGAGCACTTATTCTCAATCGAGTCAAAAAAGAACGAAGATTCTTGGAAATGGAAAAATTTAAGTATGGTTGAATTTCAAGTTTGTTTAGATTCCCTTGACTTATTGACTGGCTGTAGAATGATAATTTGCCATTACCCTTTTCTCTGATATTTATTATATCCTTAAAAACTATGTTCTCAAAATATTTTTTCAAATTATCTTCAAAATCATTTACTGATAATATATTAGCATTTGAACCAATAACTTCATCAAGTATAGTTTGTATACAGTTATGCCAACATGTTTTCCCACTTCCTGCAAGTTTTTCATCCTCTAAATATGCATGTTGTAAAAGTAAGTTTGAATTCTCTTGATCTGCAACAAGTTTTTTAAATCTATAATAATATCTAAATAATAATTTATAAACTCTGAAAATAATGGGAAGTGCACCAAACTCTACTCTAACTGCTAAATTAGAAGCTTTATTATGGACCCCTAAAATGTCTTTCAAGATGAAGTTTTGAATTTTTTCAAATGGAGTTTTATCAAAGTCTTTTGTAATTTTCTTAAAATCACTTATCCATATTTCAGAAGCATAAGTTAAAATTGGTATAATGCATGATTCATATATCTTAAACTGAGCCTTTCCTGAGAGACTAACATTGTTTGGTAGTTTTGATTTGATCATAAAATATGCTTTCCTTGCTCTACCTGCTAAATTCTCGCACGCATATTTCAATTTACCATTATTTTTTAGGACAACACCCAAATATTTATATTCATCAACAAAATCAATAACATCTTCTTTAAACTTCATTGTTTTACAACTCAGTTTTTTAAGTTTTTTACTAGAAAATACCATAGCATTAGTTTTTTGTGTATTTACTTCTAGCTTCCATTCACAACAATATCTTTCCATTGAATCAAGACATTGTTGTAGCCCATCTATTGATTCAGATACAAGTAATAAATCATCTGCAAAAAATAAGCTGTTAAAGTTAATGTTGTTCAATTGAACAGGGCATGTTTTCGAAGAATCTAAATATTTTGTAAAGTCATCAATAAAAATGTTAAAAAGTGTTGGACTCAAATTATCTCCCTGTTTTACTCCACGATTTGTAGGAAAAAAATCGCTATGAACATTTGATTGTTTAACAGCACATACAGTAGTAGAATATACATGTTCAATAATTCTATAGAAATTACCTCCAATACCTTTATTTAAAAGCTTATGAAGAAGACCAGGTCTCCACACAGTATCGAATGCTTTTTTAAAATCAACAAAGCAAGCATATAATTCTGTTTTTTTGCAGAAAACATATTTGTTAATTAATGTTTTTAAAACAAATATATTATCAGTTGTACGACGCTGCTTTCTAAAGCCAGACTGGAAAGGGCTTAGAAGAGAATTACTTTCTAGATAATCTGACAATCTTGTTTGCAGTAGTCCACTAAATAATTTTCCTAAACAACTAATATGTTTTAAGATTTTCATTGCATAACGACCATATTGTGTGCCTTATTAATGAGTGGTCCAATATTTTTAATCATGGAAGCAATTTGAATGTGTTATAAATAAAAATGCTCAACCAGAGAATTTGCCAAATTTTGATTATTTTCAATTAATTAATTGTACCTTGAATTTAAATTTGAAGTCTATGGTCAGCGCATTTTTTTTCTCGTGATTATAGTTATTTTTTTTTTTTAAATCCTACTCATTCAAGTAACATGTGCAACAGATTTACAGCTTTATTTTTAAAGCCATATACTGTAGGCCCCTATGGCACATTTTTGATCAGCTCAAATACGCTTGATCAAAATAAAAAAAGATCGAGTCCTTCTATTTCTTTTATTACATAATAAAAGGTATGACTTTTCTATACATAACTTAATGTAGATGAAACGCATTTCAAATACCGGTATATCCGAATAATGACTAGAGTATAAACAAATATGAAATATTTTCTCCGGTGAGAGTTCTTATTTGTCTTTCTTGGACCAAAGACATAATGATGTAGGTGGCGTCATCCAGAATTTTTTTTAATGAACCATTTTCTGATTTTTAGCAAATAATGTAAGGATTATATATACTCAACAAAAAAAGAAACGCATATTGTTTTACTCGTCAAAGAAATTTTTAAAATGTACACGGAACAACTATTTTTTATATCATTGGATACCTGTGACCTATTTAAAGGACAACATGGGGTTTTAAAACCCAAATGTTGAATTATCTCCCTTGATTAAACATGTTGATGAAAGTAGTAATTTTCATGATTTCTTCTAAATCGGATGTCTATTTTGGTTGATATTTTGGATTTAGAGAAACTATTAACACTCCTATAATATTAAACCCATATTTAAGATTTGATTGCAGAGTTGATGCTGTAATGCCACGCCGAAACAAAGACAAACACAACCAGGCTAACGATGATACTAAACGGAGCTACGCAACAGGAAGTTGCAACTGTAATTGAAATAAATCAATGGGCTTTGCAACCATTAAACTAACGTCTGAAGACCATTATCTGGCCATCCGCAGGTAACCACAATCAGGCAGGGCCGTCAGACATCCCACCCCCCTTCAGCACCTGAAGCGATTCATAACTTGCTGTAAAACTGCTGCTACGTACAATTGCTGGATGAAAAAATCAGCATAAAAGTGCATAAATTGTTCGCAAGAGACTGAAAAGAAATGGTATTTTTCCACGATATCCGTACATTGGAAACTATAACCATATAACATTGAGACGTCGCACAGTACATACATGTATTGTTATGCCCCTTGAATTTGGGGGCGATGAAAATGGCATCAACTTGATTTTTCTATTTGCAACATAGGACATGTTTGATTTTTTTCACAACACACTCTAAAATCACTTAAATAAAATAAGGTTTAAACTTAAAACGTAGATTTTCATATTATTCTGAATATGCGTTTCTTTTTTTGTTGAGTATATATTATAGCTGAACATTGACACACATACAGTTTGTAATCATATATGTGACACAGTTTACATGGCCAAAGGAGCCGGGGAGGGTCCGGGGTTGCATTGCAACGCACTATTTGTTTAAAAGAAAAATGCGCAGTTTAAAAAAATGTTCAAAGTGTGTTAATAATATTGTCATGTCATGTTGTAAATTTACATGTCACAATGTTAGAACAAAAGATTAGGAAGTGGATAAAATATACAGGCAATACAAACACTGAATTAAACTGTCAAAGTTATCTGAAATTGTCAAAAAATATAATAATAATACCGTCTTCTTCGATTAATTATTTTTTAAAATATCAAAAAGTTTTCATCAGGTATCCCTGTCTGCGTTATATTCTATAAATAAACGTTGTACCATCAGGCTAACAATCTCCCATGCAGAGTTGTCGTTCGTTTCTCTATGAGCCGATGATATAGAGGGTGTCATGCAGGCTAACACAAATGCGGGGAACAGGCGCGGATCCAGGATTTGAAGTTAGGGGGGCTCCAATAGTAGGCAAGGGGTCTGGTGGCCGCCTTGAGGCCCCCAGTGGGTCCTGGGCAAAGCCCTGGTGGGGGTCCAGGGGGCGAAGCCCCCGGAAGCTCCTGGATTCTAGAGATTTTGTAGGGTAAAAATGAGGTCTACCGAGTATACATATTAACATTTTATAGACGATACTGTGATTTACGTTAACTTTGACAATTTTAGGGGGGGCGCGCGCCGGGTGCGCCCCCCTTAAATCCGCCACTGGGGAACATCATTAATGACTTGATGTAAGCTTTGATGCAAAACTCCCCGCTGAGGACACATTTTTGCACACTCGTTTGACCTAAAATAATCTTGCTGAATCGTTTTTTATTTACAGTTGGTATATAAAACCCCGAAACGATACATTTAATTTATATTTTACACTTAACTATTAAATTCTAGCTATATGCATCTTATTTAATTCATTTCAAAAACTTTTTAAAATTATATACATGTATGCCATAGAGATATCTTTTTGTGTTACATATCCTCTCAATGTCTGAACTTGTTTTTAAACTGTCTTTGCACGGTCTTTGTTCATTTCCCTGTAAATGAGCCAGGATTTTCAGTACTTCTGGGTACTTTGATTCAATCCACCGAGGGGGGGGGGGGTGGGGGTGGGGGGTGGGTTAAAGGATTTTTACCAGCGGGGGAAAAATACTAAGAGAGATAAGAAAGGTTTTTTTTTTTTAGGTTTTAATTAGATTTAGTATAATTTCGTCAAATTGCGTTTTCTCGGTTCCAATTGAAAGAGCATTGTATGGTAAGTGTCTCAAATGGCCCCTTAAAATGAATATCTTAATTTTACTTTATATATATAGCTTTACATTGTACAGCTAGAAATGTGACATCATGCAGTTTATTTTAGCATAATTTAGCATAATGATATTTTGTATAAAACTGCTTATTAAAAGATGAATCTATCCAATATTAATTAGTGACAGAAAAATAATGTATGTTCTACACTGTGCTCTGTGTTTCCCTAAAGAAAAAAAAAGAAACATCAACAGAAAGGCATACATGCAGTTTTAACTTTTTGGTTAAATACAAAAATTGCATTTCTCCTCATTTACAGCCAGTCATGAGTGAGTGTATATAAACGTGAAAAATATATTGGAAATATTTCTAATATAATCTCTTCCACGAAATTAATATCAATTAATTAAATGTATCTGAATATTATTCTAAAATGTTGATTTTAGGGGGCCAAAATTGGTTCTTTTCATCTATAGTCCTTAATACGCACTTTTTTTTTCAAATTGCGTGGGTAATTTTTTTACCCCCCCCCTTTTTTTGTCAGAATTACCTGTACATTATACATGTAAATAGAACACATGCGAATTAAAAAATTAATTAGTTTTTATTAATTAATTATTTTTTTTGTGCCCCAACACTTAAATTTTTGTGGGGCGTTTTCCCCACAAGCACTTGTTTTGGTAATAAATTTTTAATCCATCATGTGTCCATAGTATAATAATTATATAATAATATGGGGTTTTAAATTTATATTACCGAAACAAGTGCCTGCATGTGGTTTTCCCTGTAACTTTTTCGATATACTAAAAATAAAGGAGGGGGGAGTAATAGTGGCCACCTTTTTTTCAAGGCCAACTTCCTAGCTTTTTGCATACAAAACTACATTTTCTTGAGGGGAGGGGCAACCAACCTTTCAATGGACATTTTCAATAGTAAAGGTGGTGTTGGGAAAAAAAGTGGGGAGGGGGCAGGCCCCCCTGTTGCTACGTGCCTGATATAGGCCTATATACTAGTAGGTCCCCGGCAATAGAAAAATCATATCTGTCCAAAAACATTAGTGTTTGACGTGCATTTGCTTATAATGAATCAATTTATTCTGCCAAAAAAGTTGCAATTGTATAAAATTGTGTCTTTGTAAAATTTCAAATAAATTGAATAATATAAAATAATGATTCAATTCAAAATATAAAATTCATTCTTAACTTATATTACTTTTGAGTTTTTTGGGGGTCCTTTTGGGTAAATCGACGCTCCCGCTCATAAGCATTGGATTGACTCATTGAGGAAATTTATGTTTATCTAGATCAACAAACATGATGAAAGTCTTGAGGCCAAACAGTAATTAGATTTTATAGGCATTTGAACATAGAAAAACAAGGGTTCTTCAATGATTACATTAATTCTTTATTGTTTGCAATTAATTTGAATTAAGGTCGTTTTTGATTCCTGCATGCAGGTATATATTTTGGCCTACTTTCTCTTTGATGTTTGAATTTATTTTTATTTATTAATACTGGTATGCAAGATGCATTACTTTTACATTGCTTTTGAAATTATGGAAATGTTCTTTCTGAATAATTGAAATACAATCAACACGCTTAATTATTCAGTGAAGGATCCAGAAATCTTGAAAAATGGGGGGTGGGGGGGTGGGTTCCCGACCAGTTTGGGGGTCAGGGTAGGGGTCAACATCAACGCCAAAAAAAAAAACAATTATTTATAAAATCTTGTGTATCTTTTTTTGGACACAAAGAAGGTGAAAGGTCTAACCCTTAACCAAAAATATTTCCAGTTATCAATTTCACATGGGTCTAGCTGCTCTTTGATAAAATGTATATGGACAGACAGGAGAGCTATACAGTGCCACCCATTGTAAAAACTGTATATTTATTGCGCACAAAAAAATTGCTCTGTTTCTCGATTTATTTCTCCATATTTTTTAAACTGTCACCTCAAAGTATTACTAACCGTGTGTTCCTAATATATTTTTTTCACTGTTTCTACAACAAAACATTATAATTGTTGTTAATAGCCCTCCTGGCCCTGAAATTGAGATCATTGAAAATTTTGTCTATTTATAGTTTTTTATACTGCCATTTTGATTTGCAAGATAATTCCATCAAACACACTTTGTGCAGAATATGTCAATTACAACAGTACTTGATCATGTTGATAGCGGAGTAAGAAGTTTTTAAGTCAGTATGTTTGGTAAGAATTTGGAAGAAATAATCCAGAATAAGTGCAACTTTTTGTGCGCAATAAATATACAGTTTTTACAATGGATGGCACTGTAGCTCGCCGGTCTGTCAAAATTTTTTTTTTTTTTAAGAGAGCTACAGTTCTTAAGACTATATATTTGATATCTAATTTCATTAACAGATTGATGATGCTAATCTGAAAACATTTTAAATTTATGTGAAAAAAATTATCTAATTTAATTTCTACATTGCAGGGTCTTTAGCAGCCTTGATGTTCATTTTACTAATGATAGAGGTAACTTTTATTGCATGTCCTTTCGTTGTCGTTTATATCTTTTTGACATCTGTTAGCCCAAGTTAAAAAAATATAGAAAAAATAAAGGGTGATCAAGAAGTTTGTGAATTATCTCTATAATTTGGACCAGAATGAAATCTTGCACACATATAGTCATGCACATGTTCTATGAATAGCATTTGATTGGTGATGTTTTTGAAATCACAATGTGAACAGACGTCAATATGTAGGTGACCTGTGACAAAAAATGGTTGACACAGTCTTACGAAATAAAATGCTACAGAGCATGGCACATGACCGCCTGGTATCAAGTAATTTTAGCATGGGCAGACTGATGGCAGATAAGCATTAAAATCTGAGAGGACTACTTTAAGAAAATAATGAACACTTAAAATTAATTAAATTTTTTTTTTTGAAATTTTTCATGTTCAGGAACTTTTGGATCACCCCTCGTAACTTCAGTGAAAAGGAATAAATGTATATATCACTTTTCAGGCAGGTAGCATCGTTTTTAAAAGTGGAGGGGGGGGGGGGGGGCAACCAGAGAACATTTTTTTTCACTTAACTGAAACAGTTTACAGGCCAAAAAAAAAAAAAAAATATATATATATAAATTGTACAAACTTGAAAATCTTCCTATTTCGTTCGTGGGGGTGGGGGTTAGTGGCCAACTTTTTTTCAAGTCAACTTTCTTACACTTTCAATTATTTTGCTATATTTTCTTGCTATATTACACTGTGGTCAGAAGCGTGGGTGGGGGGGGGAACCTACCTTTCAATGTACATTTTCAATAGTAAAAGTAATGTTGGGGAAAAAAGGGGGGGGGGGGCAGGCCCCCCCCCTTGTTGCTACGTGCCCGCTTTTTTATGAATCATACTGATTGAATTAAACCATCTTCATGTTCTAAATTTACTAAATATTGTCACAGTGAATGTATTTATTCTAACTGCAGGTTTTTGCCATATTAAGACTGAGGAGTGTGAAGTAATTATTTAATACATTTAACAATCAGCTTATTTTTTTAAAAAATGATCTACATGTATATAGAAGTGTATCCTTTAGTTAGAAATTAATAGTGTTTCAATGTTTTTGTTTGCTGACTTTAAAGCATTTTAATTCATGACAAATTCTTAAAAAACATAAAACATGCTTAAACTACATGTATCTATTACTTTGTTGGACAGTGCAAGTTGTTCAGACTGAAAATTAAAAGCTTTTTGCAGTCAAAAACATTGTAATGCATTTAACAATATTATGTTATGTAGGTAGCACTGACAGGAAATTAATTAGTTTCAATTAGCATATTTATTGATATATTCCAGCTGCAATCAAGAATTAACATTCTTAGTTTGATCATAGTATGGTTACTAATACATTTCATACAGTGTACAATATCCCGCATGCATTTCTATCCAAAATTATTATTACTGAAATGGCATATTTATAAAACAATTTAGATTAGCACACAGCATATATCATAGACATTTTTTATCCAGATATTTAATTATTCGAGGTATACATTCTTTGTAAACAGACACAGCGGTTTAATGATTTCAAGATTGTACTGAGCATGCAGTTGCAGTCAATGCTGTCAATCAGTCTGGCTACCTGTCCTTTAACTACCTATGTATTGAAATTCTGACTTGAAAATGACAATAGTTTATTCACTAAAACTTTAAAAACAGTGTAGAGAGGATATAACAATTGTATATGAAATATTTGAATACAATAAACGTGACATTTAAGAAGAAAGGAAAAAAAAAAATGAAATGTCATGACTTACCCTGGTGTTTTCCCTAAGATTTGGCTAACTGCCAAAATGACTGCTTCAATTGATAAAATGCGGCTTAGAAATAAAAAAAAATGTTGTAAGATTGACAGAGATTGTGTTGGTAAAATCAATCTTTAGACTCTAACAATTGATCTTTATAACTATATTTTGAAATAAAGGGAAAACACTGCTTCAATCAAGAGGGTGAAACCTCAATACAATTATTCCCTGCAAGTTTATAAAGTTTGAGGATTTATAACACAAACAAACTTTTTATACCAAAATTTAATATCTCTGAGCTGCTAAAATGTGTGCCTTTCTCACTTTATAAGGGGTGGTTGTTTTACTTTTACAGCATTATATTTGACCATGCTATATAATTTAGTGAAAATGCAACTTTATTTACAGCTATATATCAATACATTTTTTAAAGAAGTTTTAGAAATCTGTGAAGTTTTATTTGCAAAGTTTCTCAGGATATTTTCAAAAGTATATTTTAACATAGCTGTACACATTAAAAATCTAAATTACACTTCCATTGAAAGAAATGAAAAAATACCATTGTAATTCTTCTGTGTAGGAGATAAGAAACTATGTTTCTGGTATGTGTATCCTTAATCAGTTGATTTTTGCCATTTACAGTACATGTAATTAAATGAAATTATAGTGTCTGAAAATATCGGTTCGCAGGTTTGAATCTATTTAATTTATATTGTTTATTTCTACCCAAATCATTAATACAATGTGTTTATACCAATTGTTTTCTTGTCTTCCCATGAAGTAAATTTTTTACAATTTTAATTCGTGATCTTAAATTGTTTGATAAATGTTTAATTATCATATAGGCTGAATGTCATTAATTGATAAACATTCTGTATATTTTGCATAATTCTGCATTTTTATTTGCTATTTATTAATGTAACTCGTTTCCTGAAATATGGCGGATAATTTAGGTCTTGTTTTCTCAGTGATATCTCTTAGAAAGATCTGCGAATGATAGTACATAAATCTCCCGCCTACCTCAAAGTCAATTTTTAAAAGTTAACATAATTATTTCAATGAATTTTTTGTATTTTTTATAGATAATTATATGGATTTTCATAAAACATAACTTATTTGAGAAAACAAAGAGAGATAACTCAGTCTAAAATTTTAGTAAATCTTGTGTTTTTCAGTTATAGAAATTAACAAAAACTGAAAATATTTTAAAAACATCTTCTACATTATCATGATTATTATTCCACGTTCTTAACTCATCTTTCATTGATGCCCTGGCATACTCTACTAACTAGACAGTGATTGATAAGTGAAACCTGTTTTTCTGTATTTTTAGAATCATTTTTCTTAGTTACTGTCTCCTTTGGAAGCTAAAAATATATAATTAGTATATCCAGTCCAAATTTCCTGGGATAGATCGAGTTTGGCAAAGACTTGGTGGCTGAATCATATGCATGATCAAAGCTTGTTTGGCTTATATATATATTTCCCCATATATCATGATCATGAATATATATGCAGGCATGTTTGTAAGGTTTTAAGATGTTCATCTCTTCTGTCACTTTCATCCATCAAATATGGAGGAATGAATGATTTTGTTTGTTTAACGTCCCTTTGGAGAAAAAATTTTGAGCAGCGAGGATATCTTTCTGGCTAACAATTACTGCAACACATGATCTGAATTAAGGGCATATCCCGCAGTGGGAGTTGAATCGGCAACGTAAAGATGGACTCCTTCAGGTCAGTGACTCCAGGGCAGACCCAGTGGCATCAAATGGCGACTATTAAATTTATTAAAAAAAGATAAAATGTTGTAAGAATTTGTAAAATGACTTGGAAATTATAAAAGTTTAAAATTTTGTATTATGTGTCCTTATGACACACGCATGATAATGTCAAAGTGTCCAAAGCAGCGTGTTTCCTCTTTGCTGAAAACAAGTTAGATAACTCCGACTTAAATTAAGGAGTTTCCATGATGCACATAGTTGAGTTTCCCACAATTCTTTAAATAACAGTCAGGAACCAATCTCATGCACAAATGAAACCTTGTGAAGATTTATTTGTATGAAAGTTACGGACAATATTTTACTATTGTCAAACTAATACTGTCTGTCAATATTGACAGAGTCTCTCGCTATTCCTATTGCTTTTTTTTTCTACCTGTGGGTTTGATAAAAAACAATTTTGCTAAGAAAACTCCTATTTCCCTTGTAAACTAAAGATGGAAAATCTGAACTGCTTTCTGGTGTGTATTAATGTCATAGAACGTCAAAATTTTTCGTGTGTTGTGTTTATCACTTTCCCATTTCGGATGCATGGTAATCTGCCAAAGATTAAGCAAATGCACTGATTTTTTAAAATAGACAATACAATAGATAGTGAGTATAGAATATTAGGATTATGTTTACAAAAATCTATGTGATACTTTCAATTAGAAATAATACTTCTGTATTATTTTTATTACGAATGGGTGTTTTTAATCGTGCATATGTACATTAAAGCATGGTAATAAAATATTAAATAAAAAAATTCAGATACATTAAGATATGATAAATAAATATTTACTAAAAATTTCATCTTACGGTGCCCATTATTTTCTGAGAAAAAAGCCTTGTAGTAGATTTTAACAGACAACCCTCATATACCGCTCGAAAAACAAGAGAGAATTTAAAAGAAAAACAAATTTAACAAAATATTTTTCTCCCTCTATTTTTTCGTTTTTAGCTCACCTGAGCTGAAGGCTCAAGTGAGCTTTTCTGATCACATTTTGTCCGTCGTCCGTCCGTCCAGCTGTCTAGCTGTCCATCCGTCTGTATGTCCGTCTGTAAACTTTTCACATTTTCGACTTCTTCTCAAGAACCACGGCAATTTTGACCAAACTTGGTATAAAGCATCCTTAAGTAAAGAGGAATTTAAATTGTAAAAATAAAGGGCCAAGTTCCTTCACAAGGGGAGATAATCAAGAAAAGACAAAAATAGGGTTGGGTCATTAAAAAATCTTCTCAAGAACTACTTGGCCAGTAAAGCTGAAACTTATGTGAAAGCATCCTGGTATAGTGTAGATTCTAAATTGTTCAAATAATGACCCCCGGGGGAAGGGCAGGGCCACAATGGGGATTCAAAGTTTTTTATAAAAATAAATAGGAAAAATCTTAGAAAATCCTCTTCTCAAGAACCACTGGGCCAGAAAAGCTGAAACTTATGTGGAAGCATCCTGGTATAGTGTAGATTCTAAATTGTTAAAATCATGACCCCCGGGGGAAGGGCGGGGCCACAATGGGGTATCAAAGTTTTACATAGAAATATAAAGGAAAAATCTTTGAAAATCTACTTCTGAAGAACCACTGGGCCAGAAAAGCTGAAACTTATGTGGAAGCATACTGGTATAGTGTAGATTCTAAATTGTTCAAATAATGACCCCCGGGGGAAGGGAGGGGCCACAATTGGGATTCAAAGTTTTATATAGAAATAAATAGGAAAAATCTTAGAAAATCTTCTTCTCAAGAACCACTGGGCCAGAAAAGCTTAAACTTGTGTGGAAGCATCCTTGTATGGTGTAGATTCTAAATTGTTCAAATCGTGACCCCCGGGGGAAGGGCGGGGCCATATAGGGAATCAAAGTTTTACATAGAAATATATAGGAAAATCTTCGAAAATCTTCTCAGGAACAACTAGGCCAAAAAAGCTGAAACATATGTGCCCATGGAAGGATCAAGGGGTAGTGTAGATTTCAAAATGTCTAAATTATGATCAGTTGGATAGGGTGGGGATGCATTATGTATAACAAGGGGGAAATCTGGTAAAGAACAGAATGGTCAAAGCTTCTCAGGTGAGCGATGTGGCCCATGGGCCTCTTGTTCAATTCATGGTTGAAGTCTTATATATATCTAGCTCTTTACAGAATGGGAGAGGATTGTACATTTTTGCTGTGGTTTGCTTTGATGCTATTTCTCATTTATAATATTATCAACACATCATTAATTACTTTGAAATAACTTGAAAATATTTTTTAAGAATGTACATCTTATTTTCAAGCACTGAAACAAGTCTACATTCATTATTCTGACTCTGCAAAAATCCCTCTATCTTTTCGTTTTTCAAGTCATGGTCGAAGTCTTATATATATCTAGCTCTTTCCAGAATGGGAGAGGATTGTACATTTTTGCCATGGTTTGCTTTGATGCTATTTCTCATATATAATATTATCAACACATCATTAATTACTTTGAAATAACTTTAAAATATTTTTTAAGAATGTACATCTTATTTTCAAGCATCGAAACATTAGTCTACATTCATTATTCTGACTCTGCAAAAATCTCCATTAAAGTCCCTGTGTTACATGTTGTTTATTCATAACCCAGACCAGCAGCAATAGCCTGTGGTTATATATAGCCACTGTCTAAAAATTACTCCAAAGAATTATTAAGTTGGGTAAATTTCAACTCCTTTTTGTCATCTACTAAATCGCACATAACATCTGAATCCATAGAAATTGCTTTTTTCCTTTTTTTTTTCTAATTGCGACTGTTGCACACATTTTGATTGTAAAATTTGAAAAATTACATCTTCTCTGATAACCCCCCCCTCCGACACACACACACACACATTTATGTGTTTGACTAAATAAATCAAATTATCCAAACATGTATAGCAAATAAGACATGCACTGTATTGAACAAATTAACAGCATAGGTTAATAAATTTTTCTCTCATATTATAATATTTTACAGATAGCAAAAGCCAACACTGATTCATGTTCTGCATCTAAAATTACTGTACAGAGTGTTGAAAACTGTCCAACCGGTGAGCAAGAATGGATAGAAGCTTCTCGAAGGAAGAACTGCTCAGCTTTTGCCAGCCAATGCGATGATCCTGACAAGTTTGTGTACCACTGTGTGATAAGTTCATCTCGAAATGGAATATTGGAAGCTTGTGCATATAAAAAGATTATTGTTTTTGGTATGTGCTTGTACATATGATTTTATTTTTTACATAAAATATTCTGTTATCAATTGTCTTGTTAAAATTGAGAGAGTGTGATTTTCATTTTGTAAGTTTTCATGTAATTTCCAATCAATCATGTTAATATTTCAAAATGTTAAAAATTAGTTAATTGGAAGTTCTTACACAAATTATAATAAAATTAAAACTGAAGGTTGTAATCCTGCAATGATAACACATAGGAATAAATACCATGTACAATGATTTTGCAGGAGTCTGTACTGAATATAGCTACAGTGCAAATAGAATTCAGCCAAGTTTGGGTGCAGCTTGCAACAACTTCACGGAAACACCATGTCCAAGTGGATATCCCTCCAATGAAGCATACAAATGTGAGTTAGTTTTATTTCCTTAAAATTGACATTACTGATTCCAGTAAAGTAAAAATGTATCGACCTCATATTGAGCCAGAATAAGATAAACAAACAAATAGCCCACTAGAACTCACACATCCTCTCAAAATCTCAGAACTTAACAAATATCTGCATCACTGTAACATGTGTAAATTAAGTCTTAGAGTTAGATTTATAAACTTGTAGCTATTTGCTCTATTATTTATTTATTATGGTGGTACGCATGCGTGGGAATAATGGTTGGTATTTTTTCAGTGGTGTGAAAATGTGAATATTGTGAATATTTTATTAATTTCTGAAGTCTAAGCAGCGAGTAATTGTCTGTATTTATGAATAATTAAAGACAATGAGTGAATATGAGTGGTGAAAATAATCGCAGACTGTCCTCAGATGGTCAAACGCCCAAGCCGTTGTCGAAGAATACAAAAATGGCCGACCAAGATAGCATGATTGATCGAGGCACATTCGTAAACACTCCACCGCCTGCACATTCGAACACGAGTACTATGCAGCCTGCATGGGTGGATCAACTTATGATGCGAATCAACAACCTTGACAACAAAATCTCGAAAATAGACAAAGTAAATGAAAATTTGTCCTTGTTATGTAACCATATAGAAAACATTCAGTCTAAAGTCGGTCATCTGGAAAAATTTACCGGAAATTTGGGGAACTCGATAGGGGAAATCAAGAAAACTCAGATGGGTCTTAAAGGTGATGTTGAGGAAACGGTGAAGGAAATTAGGGAACTGAAGTCAGTGAATGAACAATTACAAAGTAAAATTACAGATTTGCAGGCAAGGAGTATGAGAGACAATTTGCTTTTTTTCGGTCTGGCCGAGTACCGTGGAAACAACAGAGAGAACTGCGCGAGTCTCATTGATCAATTTTGTGAAGCAGAATTACACCTTTATGGAATTAAGGCCAACATCGAGCGTGCCGATAGGATCGGAAGATATCTCCACAACAAAACAAGACCTATTGTTGTAAAGTTCTCCAACTTCAGGATCAGGGAAAATGTCAGGGCATCTGCATACAAGCTTCCCCCTACCGACTACAGTGTGCGTGAACAATTCCCAAGGGAAATTATAGAGAAACGGAAAGCCTTGATGCCCATTTTGCATGCAGCGTTGGGACAAAATAAAAAAGCAGAGTTGAAGTACGATAAACTCTACATCAGCGGTAAACTGTACAAGGGAGGGACCATAGGGGAAACTGAGGGTGACAGAGATGAACACGATGAAGACGAGCCCGTGGAGTGCCAAACACAGGGTGCCGAAAACTGGAGAAGTGATACCTAGGGGATAGTGGAGAATGATTGTGTAAAAGTCATTAGTTGGAACATAAACGGAGGGTTTTCGTCTAAATTCAACGATAAAAATTTTCGTTGTTTTATCCTTTCGTATGACATTATCCTCCTAACAGAATGTTGGATTGAAAAGGAGTTCGCTGTTGAGGTTGAAGGGTTTTATAGTTTTGTTTTTCCTAGAAAATTTTCAAAATCTAAGCAAGGTGGAGGTTGTATTATTTTTATTCGTAAAAATATTAAGCAATTTGTATCTGTTCTTGAAAATATGTATGACACTGTTATATGGCTTAAGCTTGATAAATGTATATTACAAAGCCCTGTAGATATGTATATGGCCTGTGTGTATATCACCAAGCAGTTCTAATTTCTACCAAACGTATGATTGCGATATATTTAGTGATCTCGAAAACCAAATTGTTGAATATATGAATTTTGGGAAAGTTATGTTGATTGGTGACACTAATGCAAGAACAGCAAGCGCAAATGATTTCATAATGCATGATATATTACATGATGATGTTTTGAGAGAATTGAGTGAAGTTTTATTTTATGGCGTGGATACACATATACAAAGTAGAACAAATCCTGATATGGTTGTTAATGATCTGGGTAACAAATTATTATCACTTTGTAAAAGTAGTGGGCTGAGAATTTTGAATGGGCGTCATAAGTTGGGTATGGACAAAGATTATACATTTGTTGGCCCAAGGGGCATGAGTGTTGTAGAATATGTTATAACTACCCCTGATGTATTTCCGCAAATTGATCAATTTATTGTTGCAAATTTTAACATGTATTCAGATCATGCGCCTCTTTATCTCAGAGTGAAATCAAAAAATATTATATGTAACTCAATTGTGCATAGTGAAAGTGAACATCAAGTTTCTACTAAATTCGTCTGGAATCAGAATTTGATTTCCCAAGCCAGGTCAGATTTAATTGAGAATTCTGAAGATCTTGTGTCATGTTTACAAAATACCCCGTCGGAGTCCCAGTCTAGTATAGATGTATGATCGATTTGTTTACAACACTTTTGACTGACCTTATGCGACCTTATTTTGAAGTTAACAAAAGGCCTACAAAACCGGTTCAAAATCCAGGTGGAACAAGCTCTCATTCATGTGTGAAATTACCAGACAAACCTTGGTTCAATGTAGAACTAAAAGAAAAGTATAGGATATATCGCTCAGCACTCACCCGTTTTAATAATAAGAAAAACAGAGAAAACCATTTGAATTTAACCGAGGCAAAAAGAAATTACAAGCATTCTGAAGCAAAACTTAGACGCCAGTACTTACGGAAAGAAGGCGATTTATTGGATCATCTCCGGAAAGATAACCCAAAAATATTTTATAAGCATTTTCGAAAAAGAAAACAAATTCATACATCAATTGATTTGGAAATATTCCAAAGGCATTTCAAAGATTTATCAACATCTTCTATCAATATGGATAACGAATCCCCCGTGGACACAGGAAATACCGTGTTTGAAGAATTAGATACTGAAATCACTGAAAAAGAAATATCGGACGCTATAGATTGTCTTAAACGAGAAAAATCTCATGGCCTTGATTATATTTTGAATGAATACTTTATAGAATTCAAGGATATTTTTTTACCATGTTTGCATATTATTTTTAATCGTGTATTAACATCTGGTTATTTTCCAACACAATGGTCTGATGCAATTATTGTGCCAGTTTTTAAGAAGGGTAACCCAGACGATCCCAATAATTATCGAGGTATAAGTCTTATTAGTTGCTTTTGTAAATTGTTCACCTCAATACTGATTAGAAGGCTTATATTATGGGCATCATCTAATAGTGTTATTACAGATGCACAGTTTGGTTTTCAACCTATGTTAGGTACTACAGAAGCAATATTTGCTCTACATTGTCTTGTATCAAAAGCAATCCAAACTAAAAAACGGTTTTATTGTTGTTTTGTTGATTATAAGAAGGCTTTTGACTCCATCATAAGGGAAAAATTATATAGAAAACTGAAGTATTATGGTATACAAGGGAAACTTCTTACAATTATTCGTTCCATGTATTCTAGAATTAGAAGCTGTGTAAAATCCTCTGATCGTATATCTAATTTTTTTGAAAGTCATGTTGTTCTTTTACAAGGGGAAGTTTTATCGCCCATGCTGTTTGTATTATATGTTAATGATCTTGAGAATGAGTTCATAAAGCAGGGTAACACGCCTACTGATTTGCAGCTATTAAGCCTTTATCTTTTAATGTATGCAGATGATATGGTATTGTTTTCAGAATCAATTGATGAATTACAGAGCATGTTAAATACACTAGAAATATATACGCACGAGTGGGGTCTAGATGTAAATGTATCAAAAACTAAAGTTGTTGTTTTTAGAAATGGTGGGAAAGTCCGCGCAAATGAAAAATGGACTTATAATGGTGAAAATATAGAAATAGTGGACCAGTTTGTCTATTTAGGCATTGTGTTTAACCATAACTGTAAATTCCTTAATGCCCAAAAACAATTAGCGGCACAAAGTCGCAAGGCTATGTTCGCTCTTAAATCAACAATGAAGCAGCTTTACTTAAATCATTGTACTTTGTTTTCTATTTTTGATACCTATGTGTGTAGTATCTTAAACTATGGATGTGAAGTTTGGGGATCCCACAAAGGCCAAGACATTGAAAAGGTTCATCTTGAGTTTATACGATATGTACTCGGTGTTCGTAAAACTACAAACACGTCCATGTTGTACTTTGAGACAGGCCGTCTACCCATGTACCTTATTCGTATTTATCGAATGTTTAAATTCTGGTTTAAATTATTACAGTCTGAAAATTGTATATTAAGAGCTGCTTATGATTGGTCTTATTGTAGTTGTGAAAATGATAAGCAAAATTATCAAAGTTGGGCAAAATTTATCAAGGAGCAATTACATTGTTTGGGCCTTGGGTATATGTGGAACGACCAAAGGAATCTGAATAGTCGGATCTGTCTGCCAATCATTCGTCAAAGACTTAATGATCACTTTATACAGACCCTATATAGCAAAATGCAAATAGAATCAAAATGTTATATTTATAAACATTTAATTGACAATTTTTGCTTGCAATATTATTTAGAAAAATCGATACCAAAGGTGTACAAAAAATGTATTTCTAAAATGAGGTTGTCTTCGCATAATCTGTTTATTGAAACTGGTTGGCATAAAAATATAACAATTAAGAGACAAAAGATTCTGTAAAATATGTACTACAGAAATTGAAGATGAATACCATTTTTTACTTGTTTGCCCAATTTACTCAACATTGCGGACAAAGTTTTTGAAAAAATATTATTGGTATAGGCCATCTATGTACAAATTAATACAGTTGCTAAGTGTGAATAATGTAAAAGAACTATGTAGTTTAGGGAAGTTTATCTATAAAGCCCTCGCGCTTAGAAATGATTTAATAATGTAATGGTGTGTCATTTGCTGATTTGTTACTCCTATATTATTATATGATTGATATGATTATATCTGCTTTATTACATGTCATTCTCCATATGAACTGTAAAGACTGTTAAAATGAGTTTATATGTATATATGTGCATGTTTCATAAGGGTTTACAAGACTGACCAGCCATTATTTCCTTTACTTCTTTTGTTTATATTGTATAAATGCTAAAAGACGTATGTCTTTTGCAATAAAAGAATTGATTGAATTGAACTGAATTATTTAGAAAAGTGCTGAGAGGTGATTGTTTATTCCACATTTTAACATTATTTAATTCAGTGCATATATTATGTAAATGTAGGAAGTAGGGCTGGGCAAAAATATCGATATTTTGGTATATAACATTTTTGAATACGTTTTTCTATTATATCACAAATGTAATAAGTTTCGCTATAAACCCTGAAAAATGCCGAGTCACACTGGAAACAGTTATGTCCGGCCGGAAACAGTTATGTCAACCCTCGCCGGAAACAGTTATGTCACTATTTCGATCACGTTCGCGTGTTTTTACGTTACGCATTTTTGCTCGGGTTCGAGATGTTATGACGTCGGTTGCTAAGCAAAAGTAAACAACACAGCGTATTTCTTAACGTCAAGAAGGCATTTTTGGATTATTTGTGTATATTTTGACGATTTTGAATGATTTTAAATTTTTTTAATTCTAAAAATGTCATATAACATATACCACATGGCTTCTCGGGCGACTATACCAGAATATTTGCCCCTCGGTGACAGGAAAGCCCTGGAGTGTTATGTCACCCTCTGCCTTCGGCATCGGGTGACATAACACTCCAGGGCTTTCCTGTCACCTCGGGCAAATATTCTGGTATGTCACCCTCGAAGCCATGTGATATATGTATAATACTGCAATAGAAAGTTATCGATAGGCCTGAATTTAGCAAGAGTAACTTCCCAGTGGCCGCCATACTGGAGGTCCAAATGCTCATATTCCTTCATTCCTCAACCAATTTTAAATATTAATATTTGTAAATTTGAAATAGAAATCATTTTTTCTAAAATACATAAATTTTTGAAAGCCTCTTTTATTTAAAAAAAAATATTTAATAAAGATTTTCCTCCAAATATTTCTGCTATAATTTCTTAAACTTGAGAAGACAAAGAGGAAAACTCACCTAGTCGACCTCCAATATGGCGGCCAACGGGAGGTAACTTTTGCTAAATTTAAGCCCATTGAAAACTATCTATACAGTGACAAAAAGTATCATATTGCAGAAAGTTTTTGCAATATTGATCAGAGTTCTAAAAATCTTTTTTTCCACTGTCAGTCATTTGAACTGATGGCAATGTGAAGTTTGTCAGTCCAGACTGATTTCTATCAGTCCAAAATAAAATTCAATAAAAAGAGGAAAATGGTATGTGAATTTTATTATCAATACATTTGCACCCTGTGTCAATACACACAGCACACTTCATGCTGATTTGATCATCGTATAACAATTTTTTGTTGAAATCTCATGGTTGGTCGATTTTCTTAATTCTTAAGTTTTCAATCTAGTTTTCACCTGGCTAACCTTAGCGCCGTCAAGAAAACTTGTTTTAACAGTTAATCAATCAGTGTTTGGTACTTGCGTTCATCAAAGAAGATATTACTAGATACTGAAAAGCGTTAAACGGATTATAATTGGTCATTTATAGAGAATTTGTACGAAATTAAGACGGATTTTTGCAAGTTGCTCTCTTATCATCTACTGGTCATTTGGACTGACACAGAACATAATTACAAAATTAAGACGGATTTTTGCAAGTTGCTCTCTTATCATCTACTGGTCATTTGGACTGACACAGAACATAATTAAAGTTATCGAACCTTGGTTGTTTTTATCGGTCCTGCCGGTAGGACCAAAAGATTTCAAGAACTCTCATTGATATATCAGCAACATGATATCACTAATAAATTCTATGATTAAATATTAATTAAAAAAATTGTCAGAAAGGTGTGTGAGTAAGCAAAACATTAAGACAGAAGCTGTTGTATCACAGTGATCTTCCAGAATAAAACTGTTATTAAATCAACTTGATTCTATTCCCCTTTGCTTTTGTATCAAAGTTTTGTAAATTTTACATGTAAATTGAAGTTAATTTAAAGAGAAAATGCCATATTTTTCACATTTAAAGTATTGCAGTACATATCGCAATACAGATTAAAATATTGCAACATATCGATATCGCAATACAAAATCTCTGGCCAATACCCAGCCCTTGTAGGAAGTTAATCAAAAGACGGCCAAGTGAATTTGAAATATGAGGGTTGCTGTCAGCACTTTTCATGTTCAGGAATTTGTCTCAAAGGAATCACCCACAAAAAAAAATCTGTATATAAGAATTTAATTTTTTTTTTCAGACTCTGGTTGCTATGAACTCACAAAGAAGCCAACAACAGAAAACCCTACAACAAAGACTCCTTTTACCTCTGACACAACAGCATTTACAGCGACAGTGTCTGTATTTGAAGGGTATGTTTAGATCCTGTATGAATGTAATACTTTTATTCCTTGCCATGAATATAGTGTTTGTCGTGTCCGTCTTCCGTCCTTCTGCCTAGCTGTCTGTACGTCCATCCATCTGATATGCTTTGAAGTACCCATTTCTTATCAGCAACTTCTCCTCTTCCACTGATTTGTTAAATAGTGCCAAAGTGTACCTTCTATTTTATTTTTTGATTTGACACAATTTTCGGCTCCCATAGCATATCATGGATACTGCCATTTTTAGGTCACCTGAGTAACTCAGGTGTCCTATTGCTATCCGTTTTCGTCCGTCGTCGTGTGTCGTGCGTCGTGTGTTAACATTTGAACATTTTCAGCTTCTTCTGTGAAACCACTGAACAAATTTCAACCAAATTTGGTATACAGCATCTATGGGTGAAGGGGAACAAAAATTGTGAATTTCATGGTCCCTGCCCCCCTGGGGCCTGGGGGGTGGGGCAAAAACCACTCAAATTATTGAAATCTTTAAAAATCTTCTTCTTTACTCCTGGACATCAAGCAGGCAAACTGTTGTTATGAATGTAATGAGCATTGAGTCCTCAACTTAAATTGTGAAATTCATGGCCCCAGGGTCAGGGGTTCTAGTGCTAGGGCGGGGCTATATAGATTATATAGTGAAAATGCATGATTTCTTTGAAAATCTTCTTCTCTGCTCCTAAGTATTAAATAAACTAACCAAGCACATAGTTATGATGAGCAAGAGTGCCTCTTCCAAAATTTTGAATTTTATGACCCCAGGGTCAGGGGTTCTGGTGTTAGGGAGGGGCTCTATTGGTTATATAGTGAAAATGCATAAATTCTTTGAAAATCTTCTTCTCTACTTTTGGGTATTAAATAAACTAACTAAGCACATAGTTATGATGAGCAAGAGTGCCTTTTCCAAAATTGTGAATTTTATGACCCCAGGGTCAGGGGTTCTGGTGTTAAGGCGGGGCATTTTTGGTTATATAGTGAAAATGCATTTATTCTTTGAAAATCTTCTTCTCTTCTTCTGGGTATTAGATAAACTAACTAAGTACCTAGTTATGATGAGCAAGAGTGCCTCTTACAAAATTGTGAATTTTATGACCCCAGGGTCAGGGGTTCTGGTGTTATGGTGGGGGCCTATTGATTATATAGTGAAAATACATTTATTCTTTGGAAATCTTCTTCTCTGCTCCTGGTTATTAAATAAACTAACCAAGCACATAGTTATGATGAGCAAGAGTGCCTCTTTCAAAATTGTGAATTTTGTGACCCCAGGGTCAGGGGTTTTTGTGTTGGGGGGGGGGCTCTATTGATCATATAGTGAAAATGCATATTATTCTTTGAAAGTCTTCTTCTCTGCTTCTGGGTATTAAATAAACTATGTAATTAAATAGCTATGTTGATCAAGAGTGCCTCTTTCATAATTGTGAATTTTATGACCCCAGGGTCAGGGGTTCTGATGTTAGGGCGGGGCTCTTTTTGTTATATAGTGAAAATGCATTTATTCTTTGAAATTCTTTCCTTTGCTCCTGTGTCTATGCCTATGATCCAAATATATATATTTATGATGAAAAAAGGTGCACCTAGCAAATGGTTATTTTTTATGCCCCCGCCCCTTCCCTGGGTCGGGGTGAGGGGGGGGGGGGTACAAAGTCTGAAAATAAATTAATGCTTTGAAATTTGCTCTTTGGTGTTAATCAACTATTTTATGATAAAATTTGCAAAACTTTGAAATAAGTGGCCCCAGGATCAGTGGTTCCTTTGGGATGAGGTGTACAACTGGTTGTAAAGTGGAAGTGCATTTTCTCTTAATTGTACTCTGATCTACCTCTGGGTATTAAGTAAATAGAGTTAGCATGCTAAGTCTAAATTATTATAAGCAATGGTACCTATTTCAAAATTGTGAATTGCGAATTCCATTGCCTCTAGTTTAAAACATGAACCAAATTTAATTGTTTGAAAGTTGTTGCACAATACTCAGGTGACCTATAAGGCCCGTGGGCCTCTTGTTTCTAATATTGAAGGGTTTATCCATCTCTTATATGTCATTCCTCCTATACCACTGAATATGATTAAATATACTTTCACAGATTCTATATTACAGTGTGCCATTGTAAGCAATTAATTCAACTTTTCTAAGGCATGTTGATGGATAATGTATGTGACATATATATTTTTTTAATTTAGTGTTAAATCAATTCAGTTGAATGGAAACAGCAAGGGTATTTGGTCAATTTGTTGGGTTATTCATAACTGGTAAAATGAGTACCTATGTTAAACTGTAAAATAAATTTTTTCAGAGACCAGCTGAACTTTCATGAAACAATATTAAATTCAAAAAAAATTTGAACTACTTTAACAAAAAAAATTAGACTTTAAAAAATGCCTCGTAAAATAATAGCCTTTAATAAAGCACCACCATAAAAGGTTCATCATTTGGAACTGGTCAAATATCTGTAATAGCCACATTACTGACATATGAAATCTTTTGCAAATCTTTATATTTAAACTGTGCTTATTACTTTTTGTTTTGATTTGATTTTTTAGGTCAGAAGTAAATTCAGAAGATAAAGAACGCATTGTTTTCATCATGATAGGAATTCTTGTCGTCGTCCTTCTGTTAATAGTACTTGCTGTTATTATGTACAGACGATTTAGACAAAAAAGAGAACTTCAAGGTGAATATTATATATTTATTGACTGGGTTCGAGGGCAAGATGCATTTTGTCAGACCCAAGAGCCAAACCGTCAGCCTGAGGACTAAATCAGAAAGTTTGGTTTGAGGGTCAACAAAAGGCATTTTGCCTAAGAACATATTCAATAAATGTTTTTTAATACCTTTATATACAATTTTTTTTTGACAAACATGTATTTTGCACTATCCATGGTGATGTTACCTCAGGTCTATTCCTGTTGAACACTAACAAATGCTAATGAGATTAAGCTTTGCCCATTCTGTAACATAAGTGGTCCAACATCTCATTGATTGGTCCAAAATCTCACTCAGTAGTCAAACATCATTTTTTTCATGCCTGCTTAGCAAAACATTAATTTTAGCCTTTTATCATATTGATTTGTATGTCAAAAAATCTTTAAAGGTAAAACAAACTCTGTTACTCTGACAGTTTAATTTTAAGAATTTGAATTGCTGAATCGAGCTGTGTGTAGTGACAATTACATAGTGTGAGTTTTGGACATGACAATATGTCAAAAGGATTGGACACAAGTTCCAAAAACTTAATCTTCTCCCAATTTCGTGTATACATGTATTTGGATGAAGAACATACTTGAAAGCTTGTGGCAATTCTGTTTAATCTAAAAAAAATTCTTCACATATTTATAAGACTTGTATTTAATAATTGAATTATTAACAATTTTTCTTAGATTCAAGAAGACAATCTTACTAACTGATAAGTGGTATCAGTTACAGATTAGATTTGTTTGTTTTTCATTAGAGGCAAAATAAGGTCAATGTCATAATCTTTCGAAACTTTTATTTTCATTTTATTTTTATGCAAGCTTTAAACAAAAACAAAGCACAAATAGTTATATTTTTTCAGATGCAAAAAAGACACATACCACACCCAGCACACCAAAAAAACTCCTTGATGTTACCTGACAAAATCTTTTTCTCAACATAGGGCCATGCATTTATTTCATTACATTTCTTAAGTCCCTTTAATCAGCCATCAACGATGTGCACAGACTATTCAGGTTTCATACGTAATATTTAACAATTCCTGTCAAAGATCCCGCAAATCATTAAACCTCTTTCTGTGTAAAAAAAAAAAAAACTATGTTATTTACGGAAATACGACAAGGTTGTGTTACGAAATTAATCTTTTACACCTCTACAATCTTGGAATGTTTGTTTTCTTTCACACTTATCATCCTGTAAACTGTTTTCTTCTGACAAAATTCTTTTGAATACTAAAGAACAGCTTCTTTTTCGACGTTTTCCTGATTATTTACAGAATTTATGGGTCTCTGTTGGTGTATTTTGGATGTCTACGCAGAATTTTATGAGTGCTCTCTGCTCCATCCTTTTCAAGCAAACAACAATCCTGTCTTAATAGATTCTAACCTCCATTTCTCAGCCATTTTTAAATTTGAACATTCAAATTTTGCAAGTTTAATTTAATGTTATAACTTTTGTCAGCCTAATAATATAAAAGCAATCCAAATTTCTACATGCAGAATTTTACAAAATACAAACAAATTTTTGAATGATAAATAAATTTTTATTTAAATTCTGGGGTGCTCCGGGTTACCGTCATAATCCTAATAATGAAGCCAAAATTGTAATTATACATTTGAAATTGAATATAATTTTACATTTGGTAATTCAAATTGAGCAAAGGATTTTAAATATGCTGATAATGAATATCAATGACACACCTTTCATTTTTATTTAAGGACATCCCTGAGCTCATAAATAAACTAAAATGGATAATTTCTAATTTCTTAAATTTTTTGAATATGTTTATTATTTTTATATATTATTTTGTAAAATCAAATTCTTCCTTATATTCACATATGGTAAAGTAGGTATATCAGATAAAAAATTTTACAAAAACAATACATTTTGACCATTTACCAAGAGACAATTTTTTTGTATAAAGTTTTCGCTCAAATCTGTACAGAAGCATGGAATTTGATGTAATGCATACAAAATAAACTCATGAACAGTAAAACTAATTCAGAACAAACATGGATCATATATTGCAAATTTGAGGATATCGCAAAGTTAAATAGAATACACAGATTGTAAATTTTATGACAGAATGATAAAATGATCTACTTGATTGATATAGCAAACTAATTTTATAGGTCCAAGTTACTTCTTTATAACTAATGTTTATACTGTTTGAATTACATGTAAATTCAATCAGGCACAACTAAGTATTATTTAGTTTGTGATGTGATGAATAGTTAGCCATTAATGCTATTAACCATTAATGCTATGTTTGTGCTTGTTTAAACATACAAATTTTTCACGTTCAAAGGTCTTCAACCACTTGCACTTGATAATATTACAAGTTCTGATGAGGAAAGCAATCAGAGGAGAGCTATTGAGGAGGGAACTTCTGAAGGTATTGTAAAAAAAAAAAAAATCCTCATCAGCGAAGGCTCAGTAGAGCTTTTCTGATCACAGATTGTACATGTATTGTCAAGTTGTCTAGCTGTCCTTCTGTCTGTAAATTTTTTACATTTTCAACTTTTGATCACAAAATAATCAACAATGGAAGGATGGGCCACAATAAATTATCAAAATTTTACAAAGTAATTAATATACAGGACAATCTTATTTGAATGTGTCTTAAGCTTCCAAATGAGTGCAAGAAAGGGTTTTAAAAAACACTTGTACAACTTTGAAGGAAAAATGAAGAATAATTTGCTTTTATACAGAATTGATTTTAACAAGAGATATTCTTTTCATGTTTTAAGCATTTCTTTTCAGAGAGAAAAAATTTAGTACCATCTGGAAAACATGCTCATGCTGGTGTGTATGAATCTTTTTTAACAAAGCTTTAATCTTTACTTTAGCATTTTTTATCACTAGTACAAATTGAAATTCAATCAGTACCAGTTATTTTAGCTTGTAGCTTGTGAGCTTTTCTGATCAAATTTTGTTTGTTATCTGTTGTTGTTGGTCTTATCATTGTAAACTTTTCATTTTCTCATCTTCTTCCCCAGATTAACTGGACAAATTCAACCAAAATTTTCATCCTCAGATGGTGTAGACTCTAGTTTGTTCAAATTTTGATCCCTGGGGATAAGGAGGGGAAATTTATGCAATCATATAAAAATTAACAGGAAAAATCCTCTCAAGAACAGCTAATCTAGGATTTTTTCATATTTATACATGTAACTCTTATTTTAGGGTTATTTTATACCACAAATGGGATCAAATACTTAAATAAGAAATGTATTTGGTTAAGTTGTAAAAATTAATTACATGTATATTCTCATGCTCAGGAGGGCCACTGATTGGTCATACTGTATTAATAATTATAATATGCAAGTATTCATTGATATTGAAAATGTATTACAAGAAATGAAAAATTGGATTACAAAAGGAGATTCGATCAAGTCTGGAATTAAAGAACAGTCTCAAAAAAATTTCCTTCCAGACAACAATCCTTAATTAATTATTGATATTTATGATTAAATTTGTTTATAGCGTTTGCACCGATACATACATCAGGCAAATTTTTATGTGAAACATTCCCAGAATTCCTTTACTCCCCAATGTCATTTGTGCAAATAAATAAATAAATTAAATAAATTTTAACGTAAAGCATTATAAGGCTTTCAGTTTGTAGATATCTTCCAAAGAAACAAAAAATTACTCTGCAATGTTTTTTCAACCAAAATTGCATTGGTTCTATAGTTTCAACCGGACACTCAGCTTTCTCCATAAGCTCGCTTGGCTTGATGTTTTAAGTGGCTGATCAATTTTCAAGTGTTTTTGATGGAACAACAGCGTTCAAGGGTCAGACCATTAAACATAATATTTTTAGCCCTAGAAAATAGGAGTATCAACTTTAACAGGGGAACTAAAACTTACTCAAAACAATAGGACCATGCTTTTAATATTACAAAGAAATCACCTTAAGTTGTGCAGATTTCATTATGATCAAGTGGATGAGACTGCAATAGGGTATAAACGTTTTACAAACTTGATTTGACTCACAACTTGAAATTGTTTGAAACTTGGGATATTTGTTATCTGACCTCTTCAATGAAAACCAATTGGGAAAGCATTCGACTAAAGTCTGAAAAGAATGATATACCAATTTTATTTACAATTCAAATATTTTTTTTTTGTAATTTTCTTTGCAAGTTAGAACACTGAATGTTACCAAAATGAAATATTTAAACTTATTATACTCGGTTGAATGTTAAGTCCCATGGGCCTTTTATCTTGGTATTGAGTTAGTACATGTCATACTTGATAAATTTAAATGTTTGATTATGTAGTTGCTGTTCTTGGAATACTTCTTTTATAATGAATTTTTAATATGGTAATTAATCTGTAGAGCACCCATTTCATAATTTGGAGGTTGTGAGTTTTAATCTAGATTATGACTGACAAAAAAAATAAGTTAGCATGTGTTCCTTTGCTATGTGCTTTGCACTTTGAAGTGAAAGTTTCAGGTCCTTCAGATGAAACCTAGACCCTTTGTCACAGCAGACATTGGTACATTATAATTAAAGATCCACATTGTCCAATGGTGTTGCATTAAGGTCAAAATTTTACACCTTTTCTCAGTATATGGTGTTGTCTCTATATAAGTGAAAAATTCACATACGAAAGTAAAACAACAGACAAACAATCAATCTTTTATACATGTATTCATGGGATCATAGGTCTTTATAGATGTACAATTCATTGGGTTTTTTTGCTGATTTTTTAATGACATTTTATGCTGTTATATTTTATTTAAATTTCAGAAAAAGAAAATAAAATTGAAAAAGTTGATGAAGAAGAGGCAGGTTTGTAGACTAAATTTGTATTCAATAAATGTCTTTCCTTTTGTTTTGATTGAATTGATCCTTTTACAATTTGCAATGAAATATTTATAATTCATCTTACTCCTTAATTTTTTGTCTATGTTAGTCTTTTTCTTCAAAAGATTTTGAAATTTTATCTCATAAATTGCATAGTTTCTCACTTATTACATGTATGTCACCTGAATTGGTTACTAATAGTTGATTTTTTTCTTCAATTTTTTGTTTGAAATATTTCTCATACAACTTTTGAAAAATTTTAAGCATTTTCAGTTTCGTCTTTATAAGGACCGAAACCATATAAATCAGTATTAAAATATTGCTCTTAATACACCTATAAAATGTAGATAAAAAGAATATTAAAATTTATGAATTCTATAGTCATAAAACATTGCCTTCTGGGACCTAAGGGGTGAGAACATTCCTATAAGAAATAGTTAAATCTTTGAAAATCATATATTTTTTGTCATTGAAATGTTGGAGGGATTTAAAAAAAAAAGAGCACTGTTTCCTTGACAAATGAAAATCATGGTTAATCATGATGTTTAGCTAAACCAAGCTAAACTCCAAAGGCCCATATACATGTACCTACGTATTTGCCACTCATTAACAAGACATTAGTGTAAGAAATTATTTTATGAAAGTAGAAAAATATTTTTTTTATTTCAGTTATTCTGATAAAGCCAGATAAAGAAGAAACTGGGGTAAGTGCTAAAAACACATTTAATAGCACTTTTAGATCAAAAAACCGATTGGTTGAAATTGTTTTATTTTTTGCTCATCTAAATGAATGAACTAGGTTCACTTTATGCTTAAAATGGCTCTCTATTAAAATATTCATTTATTCACTCACACACTATATTCCATTCTCAACCTCAAAATTAAGTAGAGATCTATTGCTTTCAGTATGTATGGCAAAGTTTCTTTTAAATCAGGGAACAAAGATGTCATCTCATATTAGAAGAATGTTTTTTTGATTGCTTTGTACTATGCAGGATTTGTCTTGTCTCGTTTATAGGAAAATGACTGTGAAACACTAGTGAATATGCTTAGTGACAGACTAGAAAGATTAGGAATTCTTCAATCTGAACATAGCAGTGAAGACAATAGTGAAAACAACAGTGAATATGAAAAAAAGATGAATATGGTTGCAAGTAAAATATATGAAGACTCGTCAGGCTTTTCGGATGAAAACTATGCAACAATTCATGAGCACATAATTCAGTTGGAGTCCCTTGAGAGGTATTTCAAAAGACCAAAAATGAAAGAAAATGTATATTTACCACCAGAATGAAAATTTTGCAAAAATTTCCGAGCAACTTAAGTGACAATTTGTGTTATCCCTTAATGTTGTCATGTTATCCTTCTGTTATACTATCATTCTATAATTCTAATTATTTTCAATTAGTTTTGGTGACTTTTTAGCTGATATCTGAGATAAAGGCTGAATTGAGCTGTTCAGTTTAAAGATGTGTCCATTGTCTGCCTTTTACATTTTTGTTGCTGTTATCTTCGAAAATTTTTAATAATTTCTTCATCTGAATTAGGACTTAGGACTACTACAACTTTGGCACACATTATCTTGAGGTACATGTAAAAGGATTCCCAAGATTTTTCAATAGAAATGACACACTCTCTTTTTCCAGGAAAAAAAAAAATTGGAAGTTGGATTGACTGTCTGAAAATCTACATAATATTTCTATTAATGGGTCAGAAAATGTCAAATTTATGTTGAAGTATCTTTGGCTAGTTAAGGTTTGTCAAATCATGACCCAGCTGGGATAGGGTGGGTTCTCAATTGGTGATCAAAATAGTACATAAAAAACCTGAGGGAAACATTTTTGCAATCTTCTTAGGGACATTGTAAAGAGATCTTTCTTTTTTGTTTTAAAGTTGATAAAGAAAATGATACAAATAAGTACATACAAAAAAAAAAATAATAAACTTAAAAAAAAAACAACATTAATTCTATGTCAAAAGAGATCTTTCTTTTTTGTTTTAAAGTTGATAAAGAAAATGATACAATAAAGTACATACAAAAAAATAATAAACTTGAAAAAAAAAATTAATTCTATGTCAATCCCTACAATTTCGCATACCAGCTTACTCGCAGTAAATGAATAAAAAAATGTAAACTCAGTTATAATAGGCTCAGAAACTTCACATTATTTCAATAAGACTTGAATCAATTCTGAGTCAATGAGAATCAGATGTTTAATCAAATTAATACTTGATCGAATTTGTCTCTAAAATATCCTGATAAAGCTCAATTATTACTTGTTATAAACAATATATTTGAAACAGAAAATTTTGTATTCTTAAAATGACTCAAAATTAGCGGCCCCTCCATGAAAAAAGTAATCTGAAGTTCTCTGGCACCACCGCATCAGGTTAAAAAGAAATGCTGCATTTACAAAAATTTCTTTACATGAAACTCAATTTTCTATTTTTCTTAGTTGAAAAAGAAAAAAAGTTATTCCCCTTTATGTTTTTAAATAGATAAACAATATAAGAGTGTTGATCCAAAGTTGAAGCAATTTCTTCATATTTTGTTTATTTATTGGTGAAAGTGGTTGAAAATTACAAATGAGAATACAAACAATTGTTTACTTTTTCAAATAATTTTATTTAAAATATATATAACAGTAACTCAATGGCAGTTGTTTGGAAATGTGGGTAAGACATTAATGCGTTTTTTATTATTTCAATTCTTATTACGTGAACTGAGAATGAAACCGTCCTTTGTGGTATATAAAACAAAAGCATGTCATTATTACGATTGCTTGATCTTTTTTATGCCAACCAAGTATTAATGAATTATATCCTATAAGATTAATTATAAACCATTGTGTGAGAGTGTAACGGATTTTACTTGACATTAAGTTAATTAGTTGATGAATTTTTGTTCATCTTTTTAGTTGTAAGACAATGTCAAATTTCGGTCAAGTCATGAGTTTTGTGAAAATCCTTAAATGCGTATATTATTGACATAGCTGCTGGGGGATGCATTTATTTACATGTACTGGTTATCCAGTGGCATCAAAAATTTGAGTAAAATAGAACATCCATATATGTTGACTAAAGGTGTGGCCACTTTTTGTAGGCTATGATTCAAGTGTGTATCTCCATAGACAAATAAAAAGTGTTAATGGATGTTGTCAGCTTACGTACTGTTCTTGACATTGTTACTGAAATTGTGTTATCATATGGAAGCATGGGGATTATTTTGAAATATGAGTTAAAAATGGAGAGAAGTTGATGCGAGAAGATACCCAGACTTTTCTTTAAAAAATGGAGGAAAGGGCAGCATTTTATAGACTTACAGATTCGAATTAGAAATTAAGACAAAATGCTTCTAAAACGTTATTTGACATATCTAACTTGACGTAGCGTCGAAGTCTCCCCTGGGTTTAACAACTATCCATTTTCAGAAAGCGTTTGTGACCTTATTGGTAATTGAAAAGTGGCGACATTTTCCAATATTGCTGCATTATAACTTTATATTATAGATATGCCTATTGTTTGATTTCAAATCTCGATAAAAATTTAGAAAAGAATTCTTCAATTTTTTTGATCAACCTTCGTATTTCTTGTTAATTTACGGTATTTTTAGGTCACCTAAGTAAACTCAGGTGTCCTATTGCTATATGTTTCCGTCTGTCGTCATGTGGTGTGCGTCTTGTGTTAACATTTGAACATTTTTAGCTTCTTCTTTGCAACCATTTCCACCAAATTTATAATAAAGCATTTATGGGTTAAGGGGAATCGATATTGTTAATATTATGGTCCCTGCCCCTCCATCCTCCCCCCTGAGTGGTGCACGTGGGACCAAAACCATTAAAACTAATGAAATCTGAAGAAATCTTCTTCTTGACTCCTGGACATCAAGCAGTCAAACTGTTAGCATGAATGTAATAGCCATTACCAAAATTGTGAAGTTCAAGGCCCCGGGGTCAGGGGTTCCAGTGCTAGGGCGGGGCTTTAGTGATGATATAGTAAAAAATGCATTATTTCTTTAAAAATCTTCTCTGCTCCTATGTTTTAAATAAACTAACTAATTACATAGTTATGATGAGAAAATATGCCTCTCCCAAAATTGTGAATTTTATGGCCCCAGGGTCGGGATTTCTGGTGTTAAGACGGGCCTATTTAATGATTATATATAGAAAATGCAGAAATTCTTTAAAATCTTCTTCTCTGCTCCTTGGTATTAAACAAACTAACTAAGTGGAAAGTTATCATGAGGAAAAAATGCTTCCTTAAAAAAAAATTTGATTTTTATGACCCCGGGGTCAGGGGTTCTAGTGCTAGGATGGGGCTCTATAGATTTTATAGTGAAAAATCCATTATTTCGTAAAAAATCTTCTCTGCTCCTGGGTATAAAACAAATTAACTCACTTTAGTTATGATGAGGAAGAAAGCCTCTTCCAAAATTGTGAATTTTTTGGCCCCAGGGTGAGGGGTCTGGTGTTAGGGTGAAGCTCTAATGATTATATATTCTTCTCTGTTCCTGGATATTAAACAAACTAACTAAGCACATAGTTATGATGGGGAAAAATGCCTCTTACAAAATTGTGAATTTTATGGTCCTAGGGTCAGGAGTTCTGGTTTTAGGGCGGGGCTCTTTTGATTGTATAGTGAAAATGCATTATTTTTTTTAACTCTTTTTCTTTGCTCCTGGGTATTAAATTAACTAAGTATATAGTTATGGTGAAGAAGAATACTTATTCTAATATTGTGAATTTCATGGTCCCGGGTTCAGGGGCTCAGGTGTTAAGGCTAGGCTCTATTGATTATATAGTGAAGATACATTAAATCTTTGAAATTTTCATCTCTCCTGGGTATTAAGTAGATGAACTATCTATATAGCTATAATGAGCAAGGGCCATTCTTCCTTGATTGTTAATTTCAAGCCCCCTGGGTCAAAAATGGGAGGGGGACTCTACTTTTACACTGAAAATTATTTACCGTATAATCCCTATTAACCACCTCGGGTGCTTAGAGAATTACAAATATGGGGCGGTTATTTTGGTATTCTCTTTATTCTCTCTATTTAATGTAATTTTTTTTATTTCAAAAATTAAAGAGCCACTAAAATAAACTCTAACTTTACTTTTAAGTGAAGATAGTCCACCTAAATTAAACTATATGATTCATTTTCCACCGAGAAATTGGATAATAGACAAGTTACTTTTTCACTTTCTTCAAATTTTGGAATAACTTTGATACGATTCTAGATTATTTTAACCACTGTACTGGGCGCTTATAGGGGCAGGTACGATTAATACGGTAAATGATTGAAATCTGTTCCTTGATATTTATAAAAACATTTTTGAGAAGTAAGGGTGCTCTTTCCAAAATTTTGAAAGGTCAGAGGTTCATATGTGGTAGTGGCACTACTGATTACTTCTTGATATTACTGGTTAGTCAAAATCCATTTTTTGTTCCCCTGCTCTGTCCATGAGTTTTAAGTAACCAAAGTAAGCATGCTAAGTGTTTACATGTAGTTATGATAAACAATAGTGCCTCTTTCAAATTTGTGAATGCCATGACGTCTTGTTTAATATATGAACCAAATTCAATTATTGGAAAGTAGTTGCATGATGCTCAGGTGACCTATAAGGCCCATGGGCCTCTTGTATGCATTAAGTTTCAAATAAATGACGATTGTTTGAAAGAACAAAGTTTTAGATTTATTACAAATAATGGTTAATGTATACAAAGAGAACAAAAAATTAAAGTAAGTTATCATTTTTGTTAAATGTCTGGCACGAAGTTACATGTAGGTATAACACCTGCTTTGAAAAAAATCCCTGCTGATTTTTTTTGTTCATAAATTTTTAAAATTACACACAATTTATAAATCACTTATGCTATGGAAATCTCACAACTTGTTCACTTGCCGTTTTCACCAATCAAGGAATTTCTAGTTCCTGCAACATTCCGTAATCACGTTCCAGGTATCCTAATCCTTTATGCAGCATCGACATAAGTATGACACATCTGGCCCTCCAACCAACTTTCATCACTTAACCTCATGGTATATAACAATCGTCAACTGACCCTAAGCTCGTCTTCTATGTTCATCATAGTCTCACAACACTTTACGCACTCTCATGAACGTCTTACAAAAACCTCAGTTAAAACTAAAACCTGAATTTTATAACAACTACGACAAGCAACAATGATAGTTGAATATACATTAGTTAAACACTCGTACTCTTACATGTACTGGTTTGATCAAATTAACATGCTCATGACAAAATAATCTACATAGACACATTAAATGGCTACCCATCAACTTCGTTGGTATATTGCGAAAGAATTTTTGCTACATGTATTAATAATGTAGGGTGATACAGCAAATGTAGAACACCTCCTTGAGGTCAACGCTATTTGAAACCAAACTAGATCTGACCACTTTGAGAAATCCAGCCTCTTTATATACCAATAATTAAACAGTCTCTACAGTAAGGAAACCCATTATAATAAAAAGAAGTGATGAACATTATTTAAAAGAATAATAAACTTTAACATGAACACAAAACCAATGATGAGTGATTTTTTCTATGAAAACGTCCACATTAGACAATACATGTAATTTTTTCCTATCAAGACCCTGGGTGTTTTGCAGGACCAATTTGGACGATACAAGTTTCACAAAAGTATAAACTAGGGAAACGATTAAAATATTCACAGGAAAAGCAAAACTTAGATCAGACAAATTTAAACAAGTTGCAAATAGGGCCCTTACATAAGGCAACTAAACATTAATCAATGTGCAATATCCAATTTTACTCTTTGCCCAGACGTTGCTTTAAGATCTCGCACTATTGCGCATTGCGTCGCTAGGCTGTAATGAGCTTATTATCATTAATATCTTTTTTTAAATTCAATAATGAATTTTCAATTTA